ATAACACTGAGTGTTCAGCTGTGGATGGGTCATCCATACCAACCTCCCGCCATCCAAGGCTTAGTCAGGGAAGTTCTTGGAAGAGGGGGACAGAAAGAGCCTAAGAGTCAGGAGATGATAGGGGAGCTGACGTTTGGACATGGCACGGTTGTTGTATACACCAGCTCACAGCGGCTGTGGTCACCTGCACAACATCAAAGCTGTTGAAGTTCCAACATGGGTGGAAGAGGGGACCCCGAGACACACCTCCGTCAGGGGAGTTATTGCAGCTGATGGTTGCCGAGGGAGGGGAAGCACCTCTCCTTTGGGGATGTGGCCTGATGGAGGTTGGCCAGCCTTGGTGGATAGCCAGGCATCCACGGTCACATGGGCAGAACTAACTGGATTCAGGGTCACCACAAAAATAAATAAATGCAATGAATACATGAAGCTGGGAGGGAGATCGGGGGAGCCATTCTGAGGAGCTACAAGGAGGTAGTGTTAGATGTATATGACCAATATACACTATATAACATATAGAACTTTCAAAGACTAAAATATTATTAAAATGATGTTTTTTTAAAAAAGATAAAAAATAAAGAAAAGCATTCCAGCATTTCAGGACTTCGCATCTCGAGCCCGGCACTCAGCAAGTCCTTACCTAACCCCTCCCAGCTGTGATACATACTAAGTCATAATAATCCTTAGGCATTCTTAGTGTGAATGAACGATGCTAGAATTCTCTACCAGATGAGCAATTCGAGGTGCCACAGTGAGGTGCACACAGATAGGGCTCTGGAGGGATTCAAACCTAGGTTCAAAGCCGGGCCTTTCCTCTTATTTGCTGTGTGGCATTGAGTGAATTATTGGCCCTCTCTGATCACAGCAAATAGTGAACTACCGTCAGTGCACTGTGGTCAGTTACTCGTTTGCTCAGCGAGTATTTCTGGAGCATAGCTTGTGAACCAGCCCTGGGGACACGGACATGGAGAACGCAGGCAAGGGGTCTCTTATTACAAAGGTACCAGCACACGCTGTTCCACAAGTACTCCCACTCTGGGATACAGCTGACTTGACCCAGGACTAGTGGGGAAGAGAGCACGGAGCTCAGGAGGTACTGGAGGACATTGCCTGGGGCCGCTGAGGATGCCCTGCCTGAGTGAGGGTCGGACCCGCTCACCCTCTCTGGTCCCCAGATCATCTTCTATAACGGGTAAGCAGAGCCACCCACCTCCGGGAATTCCCCAGAGCACCGGGTAGATGTTTGTGTTCCTAGCACAGCCCCTGGGAGAGCTCTTTCTCGAGGCCAGCTTCGGAAGTCAGCTTGTTCAGCCTTCATCTCGTGATACCTGACAACGGCCCCGACGTCCTCGTGAGGACACAGGAACAGAGAAGCCGGGCGACTTGCCCAACTCACACAGCCAGACATGATAAAGGATTGGAATTGTGAGCTCTGACTACAGACCGTGCATTGACCCCACACCCCGATGCCCCGCCCCCCCATTCTCTCTTATGCACACAAGTGCCAAACATCTTGGGGCACAGTGGTAGGTGGAGCCTCAGACACCCCAATCTAACTTAGTTACACAACTTGGACATCACATGAATGGTCGGTCACCCACTTTCTGACTTCTCCACCATGGACAGTGGACTCAGTGGAAGAGAAGACATGTCCTCATCTACACAGTGGACCAGAATTTTTCTCCACACTGATGGTTGTATTATCAGATAACCTGGTTCTTGTGAGTGGCCCAGGTGCCCCTATTCTTAGAGCCTCAATTTTATGTTTTTTGAATCAGATATTTGAACCTGAGATTTTCTTCAGACAGTTGCCACGGACTGAGCATGTGGCAGAGGTCTTCAAGGCTCCACCCAGTCATCCTCCTGCTGAGACACCCCCACATCCTGGCACATGTTATCAGAGCAGACTGGGCTTGTCTGAGTCTGCTCCACATGGTGGTGGCTTCCCTATTTGTCACTCCAGTCCCTCTGTCACCATAGCAGCAGTGAGCAGTTCATCTTAATTACATATCTGCTGGACCCACGGTTTCTGACTCACAGACATTAGGTCCAGATTACATCAGGGTCATCCTTGCAAGGGAAAATACATGAGCACAGAGAAATGGAGCTGAAATCCAGAGAGCAAAGGACAGAGGTCATGCCTCTGGTGAAGGACTGTGACAGCCAATGGGGGATTCTGCAACTGGCACTCTCCTGGATTTGTGGGTGTCCTGTTTTGAGCTATCACCAAACTGTTGATGGGGTTGCAAGCTGGTGAAGCCATTATGGAAATCAGCGTGGAGAACCCTCAAAACACTTAAAATAAATCTATTATATGACCCAGCTACACCACACCTTGGCATATGCCCAAAGGACTTTGCATCCTACTCCACAGATGTTTGCTCAGCCACAGCCATGCTCTTGGCTGCTCTACTCACAATAGCCAGGAAATGGACACAACATAAATGTCCTTCAGCCAACAGTGAGTAATGAAAACGTGGTACAGATATACACTGTGGAATGTAAACAAAAACGCACTTTTCGGGCAGAAAAGATCGTGTTAAGTGAGGTAACCCAGATCAGAAAGACAAATGTTTCGTGTTCTAGTTCTCCAAAGGCTCCCAGTTCCAGATCTTCAGATGTCAATAAAGATCCTGGAGTCACAGGGGCAGCCAGAAAAATAAATGGGACCATTGTGGGAGTGGGAGGGAGGCTGGCAGAATACAAGTGATCTGATAGAGGAAATGAGAAAAGGAGGTCTCTAATGAGGGGATAGGGGGAGATCCGTACAGAAGAAGGAGGGAGGAAGATAAAATAACAGTAGGGATGTCTGGAAAAGTCATTAGGGATCATACTATGAACTACCTAAAAACACCCATAGTGCACAAAAGTAAATGACTAAATAAACATATACAGTTTAAATAAAAAAATTTTCATCTGAGCTAACAACGTTCTTCAAGAGCCAAAGACCCCATCTAATACAAACCCCAACACCCTGCATAAGAAGTCCCCTATTGAGTTGCTGGTCAGGATTAGCCAAGGGATTCCCAAAGCATTGTAGACTATTGCTGTTGCCCAGAGGTGGAAGATAAGTCCCTATGGCTGGACACCATGCACTTTGGACAGAATGCAGAGGACCCGAAGTTGGAGCTGACCTGGATGCCTCTTTCCTGGGGACTAGATTTCATGGTACAGAAGGCGCCATACATGCTTCCAAAGGAGGGAAGACACCAACAGTCCTACCCAGCTACGATGCCTGTGAGATATAACAACGATCAGCATGGCATGATAACACTAAGGGTGTAGTAGTGGCAGGCATACCTTGGCTGTAACCAACAGCTCTCTAAAGGTCTTAAGGCTTGCTGAGCAAGAGGAAAATCATGCCTGGTACTGGAAACCCAGCCAACTACCCAGGGCAAGTGAAGTCATGGATCTTGGAGGAGAACCTATAACTATCACTTTACTAAACCAGCATGGTCCCTAACCACACTCTAAATATTTGTCCTTATACCCAATGATAAGTGTAGTTCTCTCCCTTCATCAAGAAAACCTCTCTTTGCAACATAGGGACACGGTTACAGAAAATTATACAACCAATCAGAATGCAGAGTTATGGAGCCAAATCTCAGTGGATACATCTACAATACAACTCCTGAACCTAAGATTTGGGGACCGTTGAGAAGAGGGAGCAGAAAGATTATAAGGACAGAGAATCAGGGAGTTTGCTGTGAGACTATGTGCCCTAGTAATGTCAGAAGCTATATCCATAAAGTACCACCAACTGACTGCCCAAACATGATCTGAACAAGAACGACATCAATAGACACACTAAAGTGGATGGTGATGGTGGGGGTGTGTGGGAGCAGGGGTGGGGGGTGGGGGGTGGGGACCCACGAGGTCTCAACCCTGCACAAAGAACTGTAGGCAGCTGAGGAAAGCTGAGGAAAGCCGAGAGCGTGACAGTCTTCCCCAGGGAAGAGCACACCAGCTGGGCATCCAATACCAAATGATCAACCCTGAAAATATATCCGTACGACTAACATTATACATACTGAGCAGGTTGTATTTATGTATTTAGGAATGCACACAGACACCCCCCCACACACACACACATATGAATATAACAACAATTAATGAGAAAGAAGCCATACATCTGAAAGAGAACAAGGAGGAGTACGGGAAGAGGGGAATGGTATAATCCTATAATAATCACAAAAATAAAATCAATAATTTAAAAGCTTCACTTGCATCCTTCATTATTTGTAGGCTTGCATGTGTATGTACCCTTGAGTGCAGTTGCTCTGGGAGTCTAGGAAAAGGCATTCAATCCCCTGGGGCTTAAGTTACAGGCGCTTGTGATCTACCCAATATAGGGCCGGGAACTGAGCTCAGGAGCTGGACAAGGGTGGTCCAAGTTCTGCCGAGTCATCTCTCCAGCCCCGAGATAATAAAACCTTACGTTAAATACTTAAAATAAAAATTCTCCATGAGAAACACAGGACAATAGATTTTTCTCTTTTCTCTTGTAAAGTCTGTAGCTCACCATACTACAAGGCTAGATTCAAATGTCTCAGCTCAAGAAATCCTCCTGCCTCAACCTCCAGAGCCACTGAGATAACAGGCGTTGCGCCAGTGTGCCTGGCTTTAGCTCCATTTTCCTTAGGACTCCATTCAAAACAGCAACCAAAAGCGAAACAAAACCATAATTGACCGTGCTTATTTCTAAACCAAAGAGCCGCTAGTGTGACACCCGAGACGGAAGCCGCGATAAAGACTAGTTATTCTTTGTTCACACTGAACTGCTCCAAAGAACTGACGAGCTGTGCCTTGTGGATGTCTGTGTTACAGCTGTGTCCTTCCTTACCATCGAGTCAGTGACTTCTCAGACCCTGAGAGGGCGAGTAACCTCCTTAAATGACACAGCTGGGAAGTGGCCGACACACCCCGACCCCCAGGTTAGCCTGCAAGCACTGACTGTTTGAGCTGTCATCCACATCCAGGCCACAGGGCAAGACTCTTACCTGGGGCTGAGGAGAGGGCCGCTGACAGCTGACTGTCGAGAGGGGGTCCTCACGGTATCTGTGGCTAGGGACAGGGAACAGCTCATCCAGGACCGTAGACTGCCCTCTGGCTGGGAGCTGACGACAGAGACATTGTCCCTAGAAGCCAAAGTTAGGACACTGATCACCGTGGCAACCGCAGCAAGGACCATAATCAGACCATCACTCCACATGGTGAGCCCGGCCCCTGCAGGGCATTCAACACGCTATGCCACAGACAGAGAACTGGTACTGGCCTGTGAAATGGGAGGAAGCACCGGCACTTGGGTCTTAGTCAAGGCCAGCAGACCAGGGCCTAATGAAGTCTGCATGGAAAACCTGCTTGCTTTTATCCCAGTACCCTTGGTATTAACTATAGCACTCTTGGGGACACACACACACACACACACACATACACACACACACACACACCAACTGTGGTGTTAAGCCCTCTCTGACTTGAGGGTCAAGCTTGCCATTGAATTTTGCGCCAAACGACAGGTTCATGGGATACGCAGAGGGTGAAGGTCTTCAATCCTCCCTCACCTTTTGGGGATTGCCATGGCAAGCTGGGTCTTCTCTTTATGTTCTTTGATTGTGAAAGTAGCACCAGGGAAGGATTACACAACTACTGGTGTGTGTGTGCCCGCACGCACACATGGGCCCATGCATGCACAAATGTGTGGTATATTTATGTGACACTAAGTAGGTCACCACGGGGCAGGGGCTTGACATTAACCCTGTCCTCATGATGGCTTCCTAGCAGAGCAGAAAATTAGCTCTGTGAGTAGCCACAAAATGAAGGCTTCATCAGCACAACTACAGAGAGGGGCAGAGGGCCGGCTCCCAGGTTACGTAAGGAACTTCCATTTCTTTCCTGGAGGAAAAGGGAAGTCAGGGTGGCAGCTGAACCCTGCCTTGGAAAGGTGAGGGCTTGGTGGGAACAGCGCAGACACAGGTGTGGAGGTCAGGAAAGGTCAGGATAGAGACAGTAGGAAAGCAGGAACCACAGGTGAAGGAGGGATCAAAGGTCAACACGGAACACAGGTGCCTATCTAAAAGGTCTATTCTGGGGCAACAGGGAGTCACTGGAGGTGGTGGGGGACAGTGACATGGTCACCCACGGCTTCCCTCTGTCTAAACAAAGTCAGGCAGGTATTCAGAGTATGCTCCCATGAGGCACATGCCAGACCGTGAAAGTCAGAGCTTCATCGGCACTGCGGAGAGTTCTCCAGGTAGGTGCGGATTTTCTCCTTGCAAACTGCTCACACAGAGGTGGGGGCTTGCCTTGGTAAGCTATGTGGGGCTTACTTACTCCTCTTTTCTGCTGTGGCTGCTACAGTCCACGGCCGTCTGGACACTAGGAGAGACACAAGAAGAGACCTGTCATGGTTGTGCAGCCAGGGCTGGGGACCTGGTCTCTAACACTACACACACCTGGATTTGAATCCCATTTCCACCCCTTCCACGGCTGTGGGACAGTGGGCTGTCCTCTGCCTTCTGTGGCAAACTGTGGGTGATAACTAATACATAGGCATCTGCCTCTGCACTCGTGGGGTGGGCTCTGATGAAGAGCACTGACTACTCTTGTAGAGGATTCCGCTTCAACTTCCAGCACCCACTTGGGAGCTCACAACCCCCTGTAACAACAGTTCTAGGGGATCTAATGCTTTCTTCTGACCTCCAAGGGCACTAGGTACACATGTGGTGCAAAGACATGTATGTAAGGCCAAGCACTCAGACATAAAAGAAAACCAAACAAAAATTTGAAATGCAGCTGGCATCACTGGTATTCATCATATTGTTATTGACAACCTGCCTGGAGCTTGCCTCATATTCTTTGGGAAGCCAGCAAATCAAGACACACAGGCAGGATAGCTTCCCAGGGGGCATTGTGGGAAATTCCTAATCTAATTACACCAGTAGCTATTCTTGAGGGAGAAACACTGTTCACACACTCTGCCCACACCACCTGCTTCCATTTTATTAATGAAGTTAGTACACTTGTGCATAAGGCCACTGAACTGCCAACCCCAGCTTTGTGACGACCATGGGCACGCTGGTAGTCACTGTGCCACAAGCCCCTGAATCTAAGTTGCCTTGACTCTGAGTCCTCAGGCTGGGCCTCCAGCCACATCTGCTGGGATCTGGGTAGGTCTGAGGAGGATGCGCTTATTGCTTGTTTCTTTCTCTAAAGATCTGCCACCCTAGAGACCTCATCTTTCTGTCCCCAGTGGGCTGATGAGCGTATGGATCATGAACATGCCTTCCCCATCCTTCTGCACTAGGACTCACAGACCAGAAATCCACAGGCCATACTTGATCAGTTCAATAGCAAGGGGCTATTGAATCACACCACAACTGCAGCAAACTGCTGTTTGTATCGAGTGTGTGTGTGTGTGTGTGTGTGTGTGTGTGTGTGTGTATGTGTGTGTGTGAGAGAGAGAGAGAGAGAGAGAGAGAGAGAGAGAGAGAGAGAGAGAGAGAGAGAGCATGTGCGTGTGAATATGAGTGTGCATCTCTGTGTATTCTGAGGTCAACCTTATCACTCCTCAGGAGTCATCCACCTTTGCTTTTTGAGGTGGAGTCTCTCATTGGCCTGGACTTCACCAAGTATACTGCCCAGGCATCAAATCCCAAGGAGCCTCCTGTCTCTGCCTCCCCAGGGATGGTATTGCAAGCATGTGCCACCACCCCTGGCATTTTACGTTTTTTAAAAAAGTGCAGCCAGCACTTTGGGCATGGTGCTTCTCTCCTGCCCCTTCCAATTTTCACCATAAAGGTTTTGCCCATCACTGCCTCTGTGCTACACAGAGCACAGCTGCTGTGAGCCTTCACCGCCTGACCCTGCCACAGCACAGAAGTGTGTGTGTGTGTGTGTGTGTGTGTGTGTGTGTGTGTGTGCATGACTGCATGGAGATGGGGCAGTAGGCTCCTCAGAACCCACACGTAGCTGAAGTTTTCTCTAGTCCTGCCTGGCCCACGGTCAGGACAAATCTCTCTCACCCGCCAGTCCCACAGCCGCTCAGACCCAACTGAGTAAACACACAGAGACTTATATTGCTTACAAACTGTATGGCCACAGCAGGCTTCTTGTTATATAGTTCTTCTATCTTAAATTAACCCATTTCTATAAATCTATACCTTGCCACATGGCTGGTGGCTTACCAGTATCTTACATGTGGGCACTCATGGCGGCCACTGGTAGCGTCTCCTGACTCAGCCTTCCTGTTCCCAGAATTCTCTTCTCTGCTTGTCCCGCCTATACTTCCTGCCTGGCTACTGGCCAATCAGCATTTTATTTACACAGAGCGATGTCCACAGCACCTACAGCCAAATGTCCAGTCCCAAGGACTCATTTTCCTCTCGGTGAGAGCTGTGGAGGAAGCCGACACTCTTATTCTCAGTTTGGAACCTATGCTACTGAGCTTGGACCCACTGGACATCATTCTTTGCTAGGACAGCTCTGGACAGCAACCACAGGGCAAGCATGGGTGCTGACACTCCTCCAGTCTTGATCCCTGAAGGCTGCTGCGGGGACTCAGCATTCAGAGCCACTACCTCCTGGAGGGACTCTTTCCTCTAGACACTTGGCTACTTTCTGCTGTCATATTTCACCACTGTCTCTGCTGGTCTACACTGTCTGTGTTATGCTTTTAGACCTGCTCTGTAGGAGCAGACCCCACTGAGTGTATGAGTCCCATCCACATGCTGTCTGCCTGCATGGCTTCCCAATGGGCTCAGCCACTGAGGCATCATCGTCTGACTGCAGAAGGAAGAAGTGAGGCAGAGAGGCCATGGCATTTATTCCCTGATTTTCTCTCTGCTGCAGGCCACTGGGCTGGTTGATCTGCTGCAGCCTCCTCCATGTGGCCATCCCCTTCTTTCAGAATTTACACCTTCTCTTGACTTTTTAACCTAGTGGCAGTCATTGGTCCCGGTTCTTGGCCACCGCTGGATGCTTCTTCACCCCTTGTGGCCCCTACTCCACACACACCACTTTGTAAACAGCACCTCCGTAGGGAGTTGGCCATCATGTTCCTGCATACTACTCTGATGGTCCAAGCCCACGATGGTTTCCAGCTGAACAGGGAGATCTGGGTTTCCCATGACTCCTGACTGCACCATGTAGCCCACCATTGGGAGGGGAAAGGGAATGCATCTGAGTCCATCTCACAAGGAACAAAACTGTAGCTACCATTACTGCGCCCACCTCCCACTCCCCCGCCCACACCTGTGCTTGGAGCAAGCCAAATTCAAGTCAGTAATCCTCCATTAAGGGCAAGCAGAGGCTGGGGGCCAGGAGAGCTGTCCATGGTGCTGATCCGGTTGGCTGCACCTGTGAGGAGGCTCAAACCCCAGCCCTTGGCTGGTGTGGGCAGTCCTTTCTGTCATCTTGGTCAGAGTTGTTTTCCGAAAGAAACTTGTGCCAGGAATTTTCAAACAGGCGTTGGTGAGGATCGAGGTAATTGATTAAATGTCTTCAAATGCATTCCTCTGGGACACCTGCGCCAGACGGCCGCAGTCTAAATGCAAATACAGCCCGCGAAGTAACGCCTGAATTCATTTGCTCTATGCCAGTGACTGACATGAGCTCACCATCATGGCAAGCCAGAAGAGAGCAGAGACCTTGATATGAGATGAAGGACACACGGCATGTGATAACAAAGCCACCTTTGGCTGGCAGTAAGGCTGGCCTCAAAACCAAGGCATGGCCTTGTCACTTAATACATGCATCAGTGCAAGACTTTAGACACCCGTGAGACTCAGTTTCCTTATCTATAGTTTGGGAAAGATAATGATAGGAGCCCAGAGATTATGCAAGGGCGGGCAGTGAGTGCCAAGCAGTAACAACTGTCCTCCAGAAAGGTCACATGGCCTCATCATTGCCAGTTCCCTCACTGTTGGAAATAGACACCATGAATTGTGGGAGCTTTGACTCTCTGGGACTCCATCTCATCAGCTGTGTGTTGGATACAGTCATGCTCAGAAATCCAGGCAGCCTGTACGGCATCATTTAAGCACATGCTACAGGGCACAGGGGCCCATGCTGTGACTCTGAGTGTCAACCTTCTTTGATAAATGGAGAGCTCACTCAAGCCGTTCTTCCAGGTCAGGTCATATTCATCACACCTGGGGGCCAGCTATGAGGAAAGAGCTGTGGGGAGAAGGCTGTCCTCTCATGCAGTGGAGAACTTCACATGCTGGCCAGAGCCAGGGCTCAACAGTGAGTAGTTGACTCACAATATGTCCTCAGAAGGCTGCTTTCTGGTTCCATCCAGATCTGTCCAGGTCTCCTCCACAGCCTGATGTCAGATAGGTTATTAGAGCATGTGTGTTGGCGAATGTCCTGATTCCACTCTCCCCGGCCTCCCAGGACACACTCGCTCCCAGAGTGCTTATCTCAGATGGGCCCAGCAGGAACTGGCACACTTTTATCTGGGACTCTGAAAGGAAGGGCAACCTGTGAGCCTCTCCACATCACCGCATCCCCAGGCAAAGCAACAGGCAGAGCAGCTGTAGATTCTGGGGCTGGGAATAGATGTCAGCCAATGCAGTCCTCCTTCCATGACTAATGAGCATGTTCCAAGCCTGGGGGACACACTGAAAACATTTCCCCCATTAATCTAAGAAGGCTGATGCCACAGTTTAACTGACAGCGCCAGGCCCTGGTGCAGAGTCACACAGGCTTTTAAGCACCGCTGTACGCTGCCCGACTTTCTGGGCACGCAGCTCCACTTCCAGCCTGTGAGGCCTGCTCCATTAAGATCTAATTCCATGTGAATTGCAGAGTTGTGATTTGCCATCATGTGAACAAGTCTCTCAAAGATCCTCCTCCGGCCGTCTGAAGAATTAGGTTTTCTCTCTCCCTTGACTTCTCCCCTGCCTTCCTTCCCAAGCCCAGTGGTCTGAGTCCTAATTGAGAATTCATAAAGAAGTATCTAGGACCAATCCTTCAGGCTCCAATCCGAACCTCTTATTCAAGATAAGCAGGTACAGCGTATAGCTTAGAGCTGCTGACGTGGGGACTGGGCTGGCATCGGGGCAGGAACTGGGAGCCCTGCTCTGTGCAGTTGACTTACAGTGGTCAACTTATCTTCTTGTCTTCGATAGTCAGTGATGTTCCTCCTGGGTTGTCCTGGTTATTTTCTTGTCAACTTGACACAAATTAGAGTCATCTGGGAAGAGGAATCTCAACTGAAAAAAGATGCCTCCATCAGAGTAGCCTGTCGGTGAGTCTATACAGTAGTTTCTTGATTAATGATGGATGTGGGAGGTTCCACCCCATTGTGGGTGGTGCCACCCCTAGACAGGTGGTCCTGCATGTCACAAGAAGGCAGGATGAGCAAGTCATGAGGAGCAAGCCAGTAAACAGCATTCTGTGGTGATATTTTATATGTGCTCTAATAAATAAAGCTTGCCTGGAGATCAGAGAAAGAAGCCAGCCACTATATTAAACATAGAGGCTTTCAGTCTGAGGATTCATGGAAACAGGATCAGCTGAGGAGTTGGTGAGGTGAGGTTGGCTGTGGCTTGTTCTGCTTCTCTGATCTTTCAGGTTTTTATCCTACTATCTGGCTCTGGGTTTATTATTATTATTATTATTAATTATTATCATTATTTAATAATAATTCATGATACAGCATTCCGCCATGGTGTTTGCTTCAGTTCCTGCCTCCAGATTCCTGCCTTGAGTTTCTGTCCTGACTTCCTTTGATAATTGACTGTGATGTAGAACCATGAGCCAAAATGAACCCTCTCCTCACCAAGTTGATTCTGGTCATGGTGATGGCCAGCATTAGAAACCCTAACTAAGACAGTGGTGAACAGCAGATCTGAGTACTACTGACCCTTTGGAATGAGCCAGAACTTCCCTGTAGATGTCTTTTATTTTCCACTATCTGGGAACTGAGAAGCTCAGTGGTTTCAGCAAAGCACCATGAGAGAAGAAAGGTGGGAGAGGGAAGAAAAAGGAGAAAAGCCTGGAAGTCCTCCCCAAGGACCTGCGTGTGACATGGTCCTGCAGTGTGATGCAACTCTGCCCTAGATGGTGGCACTGCTCTGGGGACTGTGGAAATATGGAGACTGTGGCCTAGCCGGCAGAGTATTGGAGCTGTGGGAGGTCCCTTAAAGGTGACCCCAGCTTCTAATCCAGAGTGAGAACATGCCAGGCTGCATGTCCTGTGTCTTCCCAGCTGACATGCCCCCTTCCACAAGAGGTCACACCTGTAAGTCAAACCTCTCCTCTCTTAAGAAAGAAGCTAATACAAGGTTCTTCTGGTACTTTCTAGAACATTCCTCTTTTGACCCTTGTTCACTCTTCCTCAGATTCTCCACTCATGGGTCTGTGCTGCCTCCTCCTTAGTGAGCTGGGGCCACTTACCCCACCGGTCACCTGCCACCAGAGGCTTTTTCACTTCCCACAGAGCCAGTCACACTCTCCTGTTTTTAGATTTATATTAATTTGTCTATCCATTTACACACACACACACACACACACACACACACACACACACACACACACACATCCCAGAATGCACGCTGTGTGAAAACAGTCTCATTCCTGAACTGTTCTCCATCTGGGCATGGCACTGAACATTTCACACAAGCTATTCAGTCCCTGTTCACTATAAGATGGAGAAAAATGGCAACAAAAAGCAAGAGAGAAAATGCAAAGCCCCAGCAGGATATCTGGATGGGACATGTACTCAAGGAAGGGTTATGAGACAGATGATGGATGGATGGATGGATGGATGGATGGATGGATGGATGGATGGATGAATGGGTGGATGGATGGATGGATGGATGGATGGATGGATGGATGGATGGGTGGATGGATGAATGGGTGGATGGATGGATGGATGGATGGATAGATGGATGGATGGATGGATGGATGGGTGGATGGATGGATAGATAGATGGATGGGTGGGTGGATGGATGGAGGGATAGATGGATGGATGGATAGATGGATGGGTGGGTGGATGGATGGATGGATGGATGGATGGATGGATGGATGGATGAACAAAGGCAATCAGCAATGGCTGAGCCTCTACACAGCATGTGTTTCTGTATGGGGCATTGTGTTTTTTACTTCTTATTAATCCATCTTAGAAAGGAAGAGATCAGAGTGATTGAATATTTGCTTGAAGTCATGCAGCTATTTGGGGACCCTCAAAAAGAGCTGCAGAGTCTATGTCTTCCTATTCGCTGCCTGGGGTGCTCCTGGGTACCAGGTTCATCTCTTGACCCCTATGTTCAGTCATCACACCACACCTCACAGCTTCCCTGAGGCATGGGCCAGTTCCCTCCCATTCTGAGGAACTGTGAGGCTGATGGCGGGAACTGGAGACACAAGCAAAAAGACACTGGAGGTTCAACAGGGAAGAAGATGGATGGCCTCCCGCGTGTAGAGCAGAGTAAGATGGTCCAAATGCTCGAGCTGGACTCAGGTCCCCAAGGCCTGAAGCTCAGAAAACTACTCTACCCAGGCAGAGGAGAGGGTGAGTCTTGTTGCCAGGGTAACAGACATAGGAAGGTTCTTGTGTGTGTATCATCTGGGGTAGCAAACCTCTAAGGATGGAGAGGACCCCTCATACCACAGACTGGGGTGATGTCTGGGGTGCTCTGTGACCTCATACTAGTTACTAGTTCACTCCCCATCTGAGAAGTCTGGCCTCCACTTCATGCCACAACCTGTCCCCACCCCTCCAAGCATGACCACTCTGCCTCCTTTGAGATCCCTTCTCCTTTTTTATTATTTATTGGAAAAGTGACATCTCTCAATGAAAGTGAACATGGCTCCAGAATTTGGCTCAGAGGCCAAAGATCCCAGTGTCTCCAGCCATTCCACATCACTGTCATGAGCACAAATGGTCTGGGAAAGCCAGTGTCCACTCCTAGAACACATCAGTGGTAAAAGATTTTACAGATGCAAGCTTTTCCCTGAGAAGCTGATGGAGGAGGTGGAGGGCACACTACTAGAGGGTCACTTCCTGAGGGGAAGTGACTGCACCAATGTCTGCCAACTCACCTACAGTCTGACCACGGCTGAGCAGAGAACAGAGATTCTAGGAATGTGTGCGGGGGGGGGGGGGGAGGCAGGGGCGGGGGGAGTCGTTTTCAGATAAAGCTCTGGAGGAGAGCAGGTGGGCGCTTCACCTGCCCAGCATCTCTGTCTTGCTGTGGTTGGACATGAACTTCTTCACAGGTCAAGGTTATTGACCCCCGGGAACTTCCCCAAGGAAGGTGATAATTACATTCCCAATCTAGGTATGAAAGTGTGTGACTAGGGAGGTAGAGTGTTTGCCATGTGAGCAGAAGGACCTGAGTTGTGAGCTCCAATATCCATATGAGAAATGTCTGAGTGTGAGCTCCAGTACCCACATGAGGAATGACTGAGTGTGAGCTCCAGTCCACATGTGAGCAGAAGGACCTGAGTGTGAGCTCCAGTACCCATGTGAGAGAGAAATAGCTGAGTGTGAGCTCCAGTACCCATATGAGAAATGCCTGAGTGTGAACTTTAATATCCATGTGAGAAATGCCTGAGTGTGAGCTCCAGTACCCCTGTGAGGAATGCTGGCCATTATGGCACATGCTGGCAATCCCAGCACTAGGAGAGCAGAGACAGGCCGATCCCTGGGCGCACTGGCCAGCCAGCCGAGCCAGCGAGAGATTCAGTCTCCACAAACAAGGTGGGTGGCTCCTGAGGAATGAGGACAGTCAAAGTTGACCTCTGGCTTCTACATGCACACATGTGCCTATGCACCTGCACATACATGAACGCGCCGGCACACAGGCACACACACGCTGAGTGCAAAATACATAGAAAGGAGCCCTCCTAAAACAGGGTGCTGGGAAAGCTGGTGAGTGTGTGTGTGTGTGTGTGTGTGTGTGTGTGTGTGTGTGTGTGTGTGTGTTGATTGCACAGACAAGGTTTAGAAAACACACACACACACACACACACACACACACACACACACACACACACACACACAGAGTTACGTGTGTCCTCTCCCTCAGTGCCAGGGCTTCTCGGGTCTTGGCTCATCTCCAACCCTGATATCATCTAGTTCTTCCCACGGAGAAAATCACGGTCGACCCATAACCCCCTCTGCCTACCTCACCTCTCAGGCTTGAGCCCTAACTGCAGGAGCGAGAGCGCACGCCTTTAATCCCAGCACTTGCGGGGGCAGAGGCAGGGGGATCTCTGTGAGTTCAAAGGCCAGCCTGGTTCACATGGCAAGTTCTAAGCTAGCCAGGGCGGCGGCGTAAGAACACTTCTCAAACATAAAGTGTTTCTTTCGGGAGGAGAGGTTTGACAAAACTTCTCGGGTTCCGACTCTGTGCACAAAGCTAACTTGCAGCATGACTTGGAAGGTCCCTGAAGTCAGGGTCCTCAGAACAGAGAAGCTTTCTCCCCGGGGTCTGGTATTTGGCTGCTCCGACTGCACCAGCAAATGGGTCGGGGCTGGCAGACTCCCAGTGCTGCTCCTTAGGTGGGGACAGTGGCAGCAGGGCCACCAGGAGGGAGTCACATCTTCAGGCTGCTTAGCACAAGTCTATGCAAGAGGCTGCACCATGGAGGCTGCAATGGGGCAGCCATGCAGCAGGAATGGGTAGTCACGTGATGGACTGGAGTCCCTGAAGCATAAGTCAAAATAAGCTCACGTTTAAGTAGCCGGATCCGGGAGCTGCGTCACAGCAACAAGAAAGCCATGAATACAGGCCTAGCCCGGACAGGCTGTTTCTCCAGGACCCCTCACTGGTCTGGTCTCTTTGCAACTGCCTCACTCACGTCCAGCAAGCCAGGTCCCGGGCTTCATGGTGACGAGGACAGCGTCTCTCTTCTCTCAGTCCAAACCCACCCAGCTATGCTTGCAACCCTTAGAGGTTTTTGTGTGCCCCAGCGGGTACAGCCTGAGACCTCGAGGGACAACAGAACTCTGCCGAGCACAGCCCCACCTCTGACCCAGTCATCGCCGCCGGTCACCTTTCTGTGTCACTATCGCTGGATGCCACCTCTTCCAGCGCTGCCTGCAGGTCCGCGATGCGCCGGATGGACGTCTCCAGGTCTGTCTGCAATGTCTGCCTCACAGCGGCCAGCTCCTCCACATACTTCTCCTGCAGACATAGACCACAGAACCCATTGGCCTTGAGTGAGAACGCCACCCCCACTCCAGAGTTCCGAGTGTGAGGGGACTTCCCGAGCAGAGTCTACGCCTCATTAACACAGTCTTCCCAGGCTCTCGCTGCAAATGGGGAAAATGTGAGGCCCTGGAGTCCCGGCAGATACAAAACATTCTACATAGGAGGGAAAAGACTCTAGAGGACCCTCCTGGCATGTCCCAGGCATGCAAAGCTAGGTCATCTATGTAGGGTACTGCTCTTTGTGTACGTGTGAGCCCAGAGTCATACTTGGATTTATACCACCGCCTCATTGAGAGCTCAGCCATCTTAAATGGATCAGTAAATGAGCCAATTAAGATGGGCCAGAGGCTCCTGGGAAAAAAAGCTGAGCATGAAAGATGGACCTGGTGTAAAAGGTTTGGGGCAGCACAGTGCAGGGCTCTGCCACCTGGGCATCCATCTTCCCGTTCTCAGTGGTGCTCCAGGCCATGCCTGCCTGTGTGCTGCAACATCCCCCACCATGATGGTCATGGAGCAACCCCCCTGAACTGTAAGCCAGCACCCAGTTAAGTGCTTCCGTTTATAAGACTTGCTGTGGTCATGGTGTTCACAGCCAGAGACCAGTAACAAAGACACTCTCCAAAGTGGGATTTCCCTGTGGTGCCCCTGCAGAGCGGCAAACCTGGCTGGCATTTACGGGGCACTTTCTGTGGCCAGCACTAGTCAACTGGTCAAAGCCTCCCTCACTGTTTGAGGGCCTAGCAGGTGAGTCATGATCGTCAACCCCACTTCAGAGCTGAGTGACTGAGACCTTCCAGAGCAAGGACTTAGCGCAGCTGCTAGAACTCAAGCTCCTGCCTCCCTTTGTGGTAGTCCTTCACTGAGCTCAGTTTTGTCCTGACTCTTTGGAAAATCTCTGGTGTCCATGGAGCATCTATTTTTCAGTTTATCCTTTAATATCAAGCTTGTTGATGGAAGGTGAGTTGGCCCCTGGGGGCTTTAGGTTAAGTCTGGAGAGAGAGAGTGGGCTACCATGCCTTGGAGTATGCGGTAACATGTGAGGGCTGGATGCTGTTATATCCTACAGTGCACCAGACACCCCAAGTTAGAGAATCATCCAGCTACATCCAGAATCTCTCTTCTGGAAATTAATTCCACAGGGGATAGATCAGAAGGCAAAGCAGGGCCTTGAACACGAGCTTGCTCGGGGCAAGTGTGGCCAACGAAATGAGAAACTGAAAGCCAGAAGCTGTACCCAGCACTGGGATGGTTAGGGAGATCACAGTACATCGCTTTGATGTCATCAGATGGACATTAATAGAAATAAGTGTTGTGGTGACGTAGAAGGTATCCGTGAACACCACGGAGCAAACACAAGGACTGAAAGGACTGTCACCTGGAGTCTACAGCAACTACACACACCACACACATACACACACACACACCACATACATACCACACCCCACATACACCACACACACACACCACATACATACCACACACACACATACACACACCACATACATACCACACCCCACATACACCACACACACACACCACATACACACACACACACACACACACACACACACACACACACACCACATACATACCACACCCCACATACACCACACACACACACACACACATACACACACACCCCACATACATACCACACCCCACATACACACACCACATACACACACACACACACCACATACATACCACACCCCACATACACCACATACACACACACACACATACACACACACCCCACATACATACCACACCCCACATACACCACATACACACACACACACACACACACACACACACACACACCACACACACCACACATACATACACACACACACCACATACACACACACACACCACATACATACCACACCCCACATACACCACACACACACACCACATACACACACCGCATACATACCACACCCCACATACACACCCACCCACCAATACACCATACACACACAGACCACATACACACACACACCACGTACACACACACACACACACACACACCAATACACCACACACACACCACATACACACACATACACATACACACACACACACACATACACACACCCCACATACACACACACACCAATACACCATACACACACAGACCAAATACACATACACACCACATACACACACACATACACATACACACAGACCACATACATACCACACCCCACATACACACACACACCAATACACCACACACACACACACACACACACCACATACATACCACACTCCACATACACATCAATACACCACACACACATACAAACACCACATACACACTACCATATATACCACACATACACGCCACCATATACACCACAAACACACACCTCATACACACCATACTCTACATACACACCACCATATATAACACATACACACACACACACACACACACACACAACATCACAAGACTGGGGGGCGCTTGGAGTCTCAGGGATGTTATCGGTGTGGTGGGGTCCTGGGAGATTTTTTTTAAAGCTTCTCTGATCATCTGAAGTTTCCTTTTTGGTCCACTATTCAAGGAAACACACATGGCTAACAATGGAGGCATGTGCGAGGTGTAGATGGAAGGGCCAGATCTGAGGGCAATTCCCAGACCCTCCACCATCTCCAACAACCCTGTGACCACAGACAGCTTTGCAGGTCTCTCTGAAGAGACTGAGGACAGTGACATCACTAGGGGCAGCAGAACAGGACCTGAACCCAATCCATGGGGCCGCGCACCCCAGGAACCCAGCAAGGACCATAGCTGTTTTCATCACAGGAATGGGCTCCGTCGTATTCCTCTGTGGACCAGCCTCCCCATCCTCACCACGGGGAGCTGGACGGCATGAAGTCTTTCTGACTAGATTGAGCATTGCAGCAGGTATGGCCCAAAGCTGGGCCAGGCCTTCACAGAGCTGAACGGGGAGGAGCAATGTGGGCAGGGTCAGCTTACATTTCAGGTGGGGCTGCCAGTCACAGAATGCCCACCTCAGGACTGGCAAGCAAGGGACAATCTGGGGTCTAGCCTCAGACCACAGCCAGTGGTCAGACAAGAACATCGGGACAGGACTAGCAAGTGAGGGACAATCTGGGGTCTAGCCTCAGACCACAGCCAGTGGTCAAACAATGACTTCGGGACAGGACTAGCAAGGGAGGGACAATTCGAGGTCTAGCCTCAGACCACAGCCAGTGGTCAGACAATGACGTGGGGACAGCGTGGGAGGGGACTGTGAGCAAAAGGACACCAGCATGTCAGTTCAGCTACAACTAGAAAAATGGCTGGGGCGGAAGCTCGGAAGCTGCAGAGGCATGGCCGGGAAGCCAGCCCTTCCCAGGTTCAGGCAGCGGTGCTTCGGAACTGGCCTCCACCTCCAGGGACTGTGGCAGCTGCCTTTTTGGAGAAATCTGAGTTTCTGCCTACAGGCTTGGCTGATGCCTCCACACCTGGGCTGGACAGGCATGTGGGAATCACATGGAGCACAGTGAATACTGGTCACATGACCATTCTGCCTAAGGGCAAGGGTCCTGAAGATCAGAGCAGGGAAACATTGTCCACCGTGGAGCCGCTGTGAGGACGCTAAGCCAGGTGATCGTCTCAGGTGAGGCATCTCAGGGCCCGTGGGCAGACTCTGGAGCCTCCTCCAGCTTTGCGGCCACCATTCTTGCCCAGGTGAGGGTCATGCGGAGGTTTACAGTCCTAACCATCCCCCGAGAGTGGAGGAGCTGGACGGGGACGGATGCAGAGATGGGTGCTCTGTCACCAGGGAGTGGACTGGGCCAGAACTAAACAGGTGGGCAAGAGAATGGGACTTGAACTGAGATAAATCAGTCATTTCATGGCACTAGCTGTAGGCTCTGGAGACGGGTCAGCTTTACAGATATGAATCTCATCTGTGCGGCTCACATGCTGTGCACCCTTCAGCAAGTCACACGACTGCCCTGGCCTCCTATCATCTTATAAAAGTAAGGGCAGCAGGTAAAGAGTAAATGCGGGGGTGGGGGGAGGCTCGACCAACGGTGGCATTGCTAACATCAAATTCTCAGAAGAGGAAACTTAGAAGAGGCCACATTGTCCCCATGTCACATTCCAAGGTCAAAACCAGAATAAGGAGCTTGGAATGTGGAAGTCTGTGTCTAAAGCCATGGATGGACAGTCAGGATGTCAGGGGGAGGGGCTAACTAAATGGAGCAGGAAGACTGGAGGACTGGGTGGATATGCCCTGAGGAAGGTATGTGGTCCAAAGACTTAGGCATCTGTAGCCACCTCACCTCTACCACCCTGTGGGCAATAGACTCACAGCTCTTTCTTCAGCCCGAGAACCTGGGGAAGTCTGCTGATGACAGAGACCAAGACATTAGTCCCCAAACCGCAGAGCCCAGCAAGGGCAGACAAAATAAGGCTCCTCACCCCCCCCCATCAGAACCTGCAGAGATAAGACACACAGGAAAAGGGGGCCAGCTGGAGGCAGCTGGCTCAGGCTGGGGACCCTCAGCCTCCCAATGCCTTCCAGAGACAGATGCCCAGCCAGCATGATGATCACATCTGATCATGCTGAGACTTGGCTCGACTGCCCCTCGAGAGCACAGCTGTGTTCTGAGGCCTTGTGAGCTCAGGCTCCTCCGTTGTTCATGAGGAGCCTGAAGAAGCTCAGGAGTGTAAACCAAGTAGGACATCAGCCTGTTTAGGTACTTATGTGTATGCATGGCAGAAACCCCCACAGGAACCCACCTGATGCCCGGACAGATCTACAGCTGTGAGGCAGGGAAAGACACACTGACAGAAATGACTCCCGCACGCACTGGTGCACGCCACGAACCCCTCTACATCCAATCGTGCACCCACTTGTTCAGTGGACATTTACTGAGCACCTACTGTGTGCCAGCTGCCATGGAGCTAACACCGTCACAGAACCTGACCCAGCTGTACTGCTGACACCTGGAAC